CAGTGGACATGAAACAAAGAACGTTGTTCTCAATGTTCCAGCATGTGATCCTGTTGGTGATAGATTATAGACTTTGCATGCTTACCATATCAGAGAGTCAGGTGATGAAACTTGAACGCATAGAGAATGAAGCCATGCCGGCAATTCTGGGATGTACTAGAGATACACAGGTAGTACGTATGCGATATATACTTGGACTGCCTACTCTTGCAGATGCGCTCAAAGTTCTGCAAGCAAAGTCATATCTCAGAGTAGCTGCGGAAGAGCTAAGGGCCACAGACTGAAAAGAATAAAGTCTTAGATGGCGCACGCTGAAGACAATTAGACATACGTGCTGGCTTGATACATTTAGGCGAGGAGAGAAGTGGGTTAAAGTGTCTGATCAGGTTTCAGACTTGTGTAGGGTTCTAATTATTTTCGGTGCAGGGACTGGGCAGCTGTTGCTGCAAAATCAGAATTTCAACAAATAATTCATGAAAATTCCCGCTAAGTAATGTAATTATCTATAAAGATGGCTCTGTGTTTAGGAGCATACGAAGTGCATAGGGGTTCATAGCGAAAGCGAATGGACGCTGCATTGTGCAACAATTCCTGACATATGATATCACAACGTCTAGTTTGAGAATGGAGGTGGAGGCAGTCACTGCTGCATTCCGCTGACTTGAGAATCAGCTGCACACACATGCCATCATTGTAACTGACTCACAGAGCCTGTTGAGAAAAGAGGAGTCAGGCATGCTCCGTACAGGGTGGCAAGCATCACTTTAGAGGTCCCAGGTAGTTACCATCCTTTGGATATATTCTCCAGGGTATGCCGTAGAAGTAAAGTAAAAAAGTAAAGTAAGTAAAGATCCCTTTCACGCCTTGAGGCGTATCGGGCATATGGGAAGAGCGCCCATATTTTACAGACCATCAGCACTCGGTGGGCAATGTGGTCAGCATTACGCCGGCTGTCTTTACTTTCCCAGGACAGCCTATCCTGGTACCCATTTTAGGCTGAGTCGACCTGCAACGTCCCATACCACGACAAAAATCCACGCAGCCTGCAGTGGGTTTCGATCGCGGTATGCTGGCTTACGAGTCGGACTCGCAACGCCTTAGCCACGGACGCCGCAGGGTTATGCCGGTGTGTTGGAAAATGAGCAGGCAGATAGAACGGCCGGTTCTACACCACTTAGTAGTGAACTGATTTATGACAAGCCCTTTGGGAACGAGTGAACAATGCGGAGTCACAGATAGATCATTACGGTCTGAAGAGAATGGCACTGCGAAGAGTACAAGGGGGTCTGGCCGACGCTCGACTCTCAGGGAAAAGGCGATACGGATATACCAACAGACATTTGCTAGTACAATCGGAATTTTAACTCTTCGCCTGCTGCTTAAGATGGTGACGTAGCGCTTATGAGGGTGCCTCGAGTACTGTGATATCAATGCTTAATTATTTATTCAACATTTGTATGTATTATCTGCACTTGATTTATGAATTTTCACTAAATCGATTCCTGACTTGTCACGTTTAATTATCGTACAAGGGACTTCCGGACCAAGTGATCAGTGAGAATTATCGTCACAGCTCATTGGGCGGATATGTAGGAGTTCCGATCTCCTCCTCCAAAGCTATGAAAGTGTAAAACGACTGATGGCGCCTATTCTGTGTTGACTAATTAAACGTTGGTTAAATGTTCATTTCTTGCAACTGCAGGTTTTATCCCCATGTCCACTTCTACTTCCGGACGAAAATGGCGGACAAGCGTCTGACGTTCCGAAAAGTTGCTTGTTTCTAGCCAGGGGTTTCGGATGCAAGTTCTTATTTTCTGGACCAGGGATCCAAAGGGTCCGTCGCCCAGCTCTTTTGTTTAGTGCTTGGTGCGACACTATGAGCTGCAGATTTTATAGGAAATTGCGTTCATTGGTGTGCCCACGATGTCTTTGCGATGGGAGCTGCACACACAACAAAAGGGCAGGGAGGAAAAGGGGGGGGGGGGGAGAAAGCTGAAAAAAATCGGAGATAGCGTGTATTTTTTCAGTATTGTGTATATAATGTCAGCTTTCAAAACTGACAGCGTGCATAAACATGGGAACTAGGGAAAGTCCTGGGAAGAAAAGCCCACATACGTGATAATGAGCTTATATACAATATCATTCTGTTATTATATTTACGCTGAGAAAATATTCGTTTGCTTGATCTACTATAAATTTATTACGCTTGGATGTCGTGCACTTTTGGGTTATTCGCCCTTATTGTGTTGTCCAAAAGCACAGAGAAAAACAGTTGAGATTATGTCACATAAACCGCTTCCAGGTGAGGTGACACTGCGTCTGCTCCATGTTGCCTGCACATGTAGATTAATGTCAGCTGTCGGTTCCTTCACGTCATCTCCGTACTGCTGAGACATAAAACTTCCCTGTGCCCACCATCTTGACTCTTGTGTAAGTGTCGCAGGCAAGGAGGTTCACTTTGCTAGTGTGCGGGAACACTTTATTGTTACAACTGTCATGATGACCAGATAGACACAAAATGAGAATGTAGCATAGAAATCGTGTTTTCAAAGGAGATTTGTGCTGATAATCCACTCATTAACCGACAAGACTCATCTCTGAAACTGAGGTAAGTTAATGTTACACACTGTACAAAGATGATAATATTTTAAAACTGTGATTAAATGCGTCAGTTTGGCATTAAATGTACATGGAAAACTCACACTCCAACAATTGTTGTAAAATGGCCTAAAGCAAGTAAAAAAAATGTTAACTTCTCACATATATTAGCTTTACAGACGTCACCATCCTTACTGCAATCACAGAATTTCTTCTTCTTCTTCTTCTTCTTCTTCTTCTTCTTCTTCTTCTTCTTCTTCTTCTTCTTCTTCTTCTTCTTCTTCTTCTTCTTCTTCTTCTTCTTCTTCTTCTTCTTCTTCTTCTTCTTGTTCTTGTTCTTGTTCTTCTTGTCATCATCATCATCATCATCTTCTTCTTCTTCTTCTTCTTCTTCTTCTTCTTCTTCTTCTTCTTCTTCTTCTTCTTCTTCTTCTTCTTCTTCTTCTTCTTCTTCTTCTTCTTCTTCTTCTTCTTCTTCTTCTTCTTCTTCTTCTTCTGCTTTTCTTCTTCTTCTTCGTCTTTTATTGCTTCTCCTGCTGCTGCTCCCTCTCGCTTCTCCATTCTTGTAATTAACCTGAGCACCACTCAGGCTAGTCAAATTTAAGTACCAGCAAAATGACCTGGGAAATAAATGTTTTTGTTATAATATTGATTACATCACCTGTACGTTTTGTTCTATAAAATATTGTTCTAGCACCATATGCTATATGCACCAGTGCGAGAAATGAATACTTGACTGTATGAGTCACAGACCAAAAATTGATGTAACCTACCTGTGTCAGTAGGAATACACGCTTATATAAATACAACCATAAACAGAGCAAGGACAATGTACCTTTATGGCGGAACGGAAAGGCATACTAATAAATATGGCGTATTTAATGAGTCCGAAAATGGAGTATTTGATTAACATAAATAAACATGGATATGTATATGTATGTGTGTGTGTGTGTGTGTGTGTGTGTGTGTGTGTGTGTGTGTGTGTGTGTACTGAAAATTGGTAGGCTTTCGATAAGGTAAGACATGAAAGGCTTAATACAGTTGGCGGGACCCTTGTGTATCATGAATCCAGACCTTGTTTTTTTTACACAATACATAAATATTATGAGACAGTCAGAGATCGCCAGGGGGAGGGAAAGGGGTAGGATTTTTAGGAAGGGAGGAGGCAAACTGTTCACAATACAATATAGGCTCCTCCTGTGGGTTCCCAGCCAAATTGTACGGGAATAAAGACCTACTGCCTCTAAACTTACAGTCAGTAATCCTTCTTCTTCTTCTTCTCTTCTTCTTCTTTTCTTCTTCTTCTTCTTCCTTTTCTTCTTCTTCTTCTTCTTCTTCTTCTTCTTCTTCTTCTTCTTCTTCTTCTTCTTCTTCTTCTTCTTCTTCTTCTTCTTCTTCTTCTTCTTCTTCTTCTTCTTCTTCTTCTTCTTCTTCTTCTTCTTCTTCTTCTTCTTTTCTTCTTCTTCTTCTTCTGTTCTTCTTCTTCTTCTTCTTCTTTCTTCTTCTTCTTCTTCTTCTTCTTCTTCTTCTTCTTCTCTTCTTCTTCTTCTTCTTTTCTTCTTCTTCTTCTTCTTCTTCTTCTTCTTCTTCTTCTTCTTCTTCTTATTCTTCTTCTTCTTCTTCTTCTTCTTCTTCTTCTTCTCTTCTTCTTCTTCTCTTCTCTTCTTCTTTCTTCTTCTTCTTCTTCTTTTTTCTTCTTCTTCTTCTTCTTCTTCTTCTTCTTCTTCTTCTTCTTCTTCTTCTTCTTCTTCTTCTTCTTCTTCTTCTTCTTCTTCTTCTTCTTCTTCTTCTTCTTCTTCTTCTTCTTCTTCTTCTTCTTCTTCTTCTTCTTCTTCTTCTTCTTCTTCTTCTTCTTCTTCTTCTTCTTCTTCTTCTTCTTCTTCTTCTTCTTCTTCTTCTTCTTCTTCTTCTTCTTCTTCTTCTTCTTCTTCTTCTTCTTCTCCTTCTTCTTCTTCTTCTTCTTCTTCTTCTTCTTCTTCTTCTTCTTCTTCTTCTTCTTCTTCTTCTTCTTCTTCTACTACTTCTTGTTTTATGTCAAACCCTAAATGGTAATGTGCACGTGTTGAGCTTTACAGGTAGGCTGTGATATCTGTGTCTTCCGTCACTGGACATTTAATATATCAAACTTCTAATTAGTCTACTTTTAGGACAAAATTGTTAGTTTAGAGTGAGGCAGTTGTCGTCTCTTTCCCCACCCCCTAAAGAGCCCTGGAGCCCACACGGGGATATGTGTTATAGCCTCGTTCTCTAAAATACACCTCTCTCAGACACACAATCGAATATTCTGACCAGGCAAACAAATATTCATCCACAGATAACAGTGAAACAGAAACGAGAGAACAGTGAATCACACTTAGCGGAAAGTTGGTCCCAAAATCTCATAGCTGCAAGCAGGTTCTACAATGAAAAGTTCTTCCTATGACCTGCCCGTCACACCTGCAAGCAGGCAAGAAAATGGCGGAGTTTACAACAAGGCCTTCCACGTTGACAATGTCACCAGTAAGAGTATATAATTTTTTTTTTAGAACTAAGTTAACCTTGCACTCCAGCACGTGCACACACACACACACACACACACACACACACACACACGCACACACACACACACATCCAGGTACGTATATTCTCCTTAATAAAAACCCAGAAAGTATCCGTCAGCTTGCGATGACAAGCCTTCATCAACAAATAACGACGAGAAACAAAACAGCATACAACAGGAATTTATTCTTAAATACATATCTCACGGTGCTGTAGGCTCCAATGCATTTCTGTTTAATATAACGCTTTTATTTTTACGATAAAATCTAGCAGTGAAAATGTATTATGATTTTGCCTTTACAAATGCATTCATTTGTTAAACAGACAACTCTAAGGAAGAATCACACACAGAAGACAGCAAAAAACACAAAGAGAAAGACGCTCACCTGAAGGGAAATGACGACACTGGGTGTGATAACGATGACCCCCATTGTGGTATTGGTTCTTGTAAGCCGAAGGCTATGCAGGCAAGTTCATGTCTGATGTGTTCAGTTTTGAGCATCTTTGAAAGAAAACCGATGTGTTGATGCGGGTCTCCAATTTCAGTCATTTGATTAAATTGTAACATTTTGTGAAAATCATGAGATGAGAAGTGAGTCGTCGCGGCCTTGGCGGCTAGACGCCCATCTGCGAATTGGAAGATGGTGGGTTCGGCTCCTGACGTAGCCGGATCTTATCATTTTTTTTAAATGACCTTTAAACCCAGCCCTAAGTGGGCACCAGGTGCAGTCCTGGGATGTAAAGACGGTCGGCGTGATGCTGACCACATCACCCACTAAGAGCCAATTCGGATTTTAAAATATAGGTCTAGGCCTACATTTCTAATACACCTAAAGACATGGATAAAGGACCTTTACGTTTTTATGAGATGAATGATTAGACTAAGGCAGTTGTAGTGTGTAAATCTCATCTGACCTTCTCTTACCTCATATCAGTGCATATAATCTTGGGCTACTGGTACTTTGCCGTGGCCAGATGAAGTATAATTCACAAGAAACTGCCTGTCTGTTTGCTTTGTAGGAGGGGATTCTTAGGGAGTCCGTTCAGTCGGTTATTCATCGTCTGCAAGAACAGCATAAGTTCCTATTACAACTCCATGTGTACTTCAATACTTGTTGTATGCTGTAACCTGATGTTTGAACTAAATGAATTAATTAACGAAATCTAGCCTGGCTACAACGACAATTTTCCTTCCGATTTTATCATCTTTGAACTGTTTTCTCGATAGCTCAAGTGCTCTTTTCCGAAATCTGTGCCAGTTGTAATGTTTCTCTCATAGTTCAAGTCTTGTTCTGGTAGCATACAAAGAGTGACTGGTTCCAAGCAGAATTTTATGAACTTACTACAAAATTAGGAACAATCTGTAATAATTATAGCATCGAAATTAATGCCGAGTAAAGCAAGATTCTGATCAATAGCAACAGAAATAGAGGGCAATGAAGAAACTGGAATGACAACATCACGAAATCTACAAGAGTAAGTTATCATACACTTTTTCAACAAGCTGAGAACAGAGAACGATGACGGGTTGTGTGTGTTAGTGCTTCCGTTGATATACCCCACGACCCTGACTGGTCAAGGGTATGTTACGTATGTTAAATAGTAAGAATAATGGGTTTATAAAGCGTTATTGGTATAATATATACAGTTTACATGTTTTCTTTTCTCACAGAGATGTCAAAACATGGCGTGTTTCTCAGCTCTTTACTGTATCATTGGGCTAACCACTTCAGCTTTGAGTAGCTATATTAATTCGCAGGTAGGTGAAGATTGTAAATTACCAACACCCGCTCTTCACTTTTAAACATACATCGTGTGTAGTTATCATATGATATTTAAATAATATGACTCCAAACGACGAAGATTACCCACTTCACACAAATAGTCGTGTTTATAAATATTGTAGATTTTCATAAAAATTTCTTTCATGTTACACTAATGCGTGAAAATGGAGATGTAAATGGAAGCACGTTTAGAAATATCCAAAGTTTCGCAGACGAAATCAGTCAGTTAATAAGGTGACCTGCCCACAGTGAGGCTTGCTGCAGTAGGCCACAAACACTCATTGTCCCTCCCCGCAGTGACAAGTCGTGCAGGAAATGACTGTAATCAACGCTGACACTTTTCAGTGCATATGAACAATTAGTTTACTTCATTACAAAAACAACACTTGGTTGAAGATTCTAACATAGTGAAAAGATTGCTCGCTGCATACTTTAGTCACTAATACAGAAACTGTAACGTGTGTGAAACCTACCAGTTAGAAGTACGATAACGCATATTCTGAACAGCGAAGCGACGAAGTGGAAAACATCACGTGGCACCTTTTCCAGTGTAACCCGTTCCTTCTAACGCTTACACTTGCAAACGGATCAATCATCACCACTGACTCGTATCAGTACACACACTCAAACTTCTGCGATTTGGGGATATGCTACTATTTTCTATAGTTTTAACACTATGTGCACTATATGAGTGATATGTCGCATGTCTTAATAATATTTGCGACCACGTCGACCTAAGGACTGTAGCCTTTGAACACATGAACACTGGTTCGACATGGAAGAGTGCCACGGCTCCTGTAATAGTGCAGTTTGTCTCAAAAACGTTAGTCGCTACCAGTGGTTCCCAATTAATATCTATGAATCATCTAGCAATTACTTCGGCCCTGTACCAGCGAGGAATACACAAAGTGCTTATCACTACCAATGTAAAATGGACCAGCCCTGAATTCCAGTTAACACAAAAACATATTTTAAAGGCATAAGGCAGTCGCCTGAGTGCCAGCACCAACTGTCCCTTCAATATAAACACGTGGCAGCACAAGTTAGGACCAAGTTATGCTTGTAGATTATCATGTGAGCAATTGTTCCAAAAGCACGTATAGCTTGCAGTGACTGCTTTTGATATCGACACGAGTAAATCTTTTTAGTGTAGGAATCTACCCGTCCCACCATTTCTACTGTGCTTTATGTTTATATGATACAGACACTGAAATCACAGCTTTCTGTAACAGATCACAACTTTGGAGAAACACTTTAACTTGAGCAGTGCAATCAGCGGCTTCCTCATGTCATGCAACGATCTCGGGTACCTCTCCACCACCCTCTTCATGAGCTATTACACGAGGCGAGTCCACATCCCGCGAGCGCTGGCTATCTGCAGCATACTTTATGGTATCTCGGGCCTCATCTGCACCATGGCGTTTTTTGGTACCAGAGATCAGATCCCCAGCCCACCCTCGGACGATGATTATGGTAGGACGTCATTTATTACCTTATAATGTTTTATAATTACTTTAGCACTGTTATGTGCCTTGCTCATAGTTCTTCCTTCATGTTGTTATAATATATAGTAATACTAAGTTTGTTATTACCATATCCAGACACTGAAATGTCTAAATTAATGCGTGTATTCTATTTCTATGTGTTCCTAGTTTTTACAGGAGGTAAAGCATCAGTTCAACGAAGTGCTAGCGCAGGTTTCACTCAAATGTGTGAGAACCTGACTAAACCAGCAAATGCCAGTTGTGAGGGCGACTCGAAGAAAAACAGAGCCAGTTTTGAAATATCCGAGGACTGGCGAATGGTAGCCGTCTGTGTCATTGCTGGAGGCATGATCCTTCAAGGTATTGCTAAATCTCCACGCCATGCCTTCCTTGGTACTTTCGTCGATGATAACGTTCCAAAAACAAAGACAACTATGTATTTGGGTAGGTATGCTTCTACGTATTGTATTTCTGTTGTTTCCTTCAAGAACTCTTTTTATTTTCACCAAAGCTACATTTCCACTGCTATCAAATGTTTCTCTTGTACTTAAAGACTACGTTTTGCAGCCATATAGTGCAATTTCACTACACCACCTTACATATGGAGAATGACGAAAAATGATGCACACAAGCTGTCCACCTTCCACCAAACATGTCTACGTAGAATTATCAACATTTTCTGGCCAGATACAAACTCAAACGTTAAACTACTTCAAGTCACAAAGCAAGAAACTTTAGACAGTATGATAACTAAGAGAAGATAGAAATGGCTGTTGGAAATTGGCCACATTATGAGAATGAATCCTGATATACCTGCCAAAACATCTCTCACATGGACACCAGAGGGAAAGAGAAAACAGGGGCGTCCAAAAACAACATGGAGACGAACGATGGAAAATGACCTGAGTCCGGCATCTTTGACATGGAAAACTGCACTGAAGATTGCGCAGGACAGGAAAGCATGGAAAGTCCTCTCTGAAGCCTCATGTGCCACTAGGCATAACGAGAACAGATACTAAATGATAATACCTTACATATAACTGATGTAAGTCATTCGAAAAGGCTGCTGCCTGCGTAAAGATATCTTTTAAGTCCTCACAGTTGAATCCAGGAGCCGCGCGGTGGCACAGTTCCTAGAGGCTTGCCTACCGGTCAGAGGTCTGTGTTTCAAATCAGCATTGAGGCAAAATTTGTATAAGGGACTTTGGCGTCCCAGAGCCATCCATTCCAGACTAGTTAAAAGGAAATGTAACTGGAAGCAAGGGTGGCAGGTTGATCGCGTCACACATTGCGCTGACTGGTCTTTACAAACATGAGTCTGGTTTCATAAGCCCAATGACGTAAACATGGATCTTTACTGCACTTATCAGTTGTTTCCACTGTAGTTCGCTTGCCCGTTATTCCTGATTATCTTTACGAACTGGACTCTACTGACTTCGCCTGCCATTTGTACAAGAAATTTAAGATTCGGGACTCAGAACTGTGGCCTCGCGTGCAGGCAGCACCGATTATTAAAAGCGTGCTGTATACATTCATTAGAAAGATGCGAATCTGGCGTGTTGGTATTCCAGTGGAAGCCATGTGGAATATTTTGATAAAAGCATGACCTTCAGAAAAGCCTGTAACATTCCCAAATGAGAACTAGTGGAAGAGAAAACGAAAAGAAGTATAAGATGATCATGTTATCTTGGAAAGGCAGGAGTTTAGATTCTTATTTCCGTTTGCTGTATATGATATAATGCACAGTTTCACAAGTCAACAAATTAATCCTCTTTTCTTCGTGAATTCAGGGGTCATGACTGGATTATCAATCTTTGGACCAGCTCTAGCGTTTGCGCTTGGAGGAGTGTTTAGTAACATGTACGTGACACTAGAAGGTGAGCTAGATGTACCTTCTCTACTGAAGAGGATCTTCTGTTTGCTGCCTGTTATCATACATTGCACCTCGTATTGTATATATCACACTTTTCACTGTGTATTTAACACTTTTTGTCTCTTGTATCGTACTTTTGTGCATACACTGCACATCTACACGACATCAGTTTTTACTTTGCACAGACACACCCGCTCGTGCATAAAGTGCACCTTTTTTGTACTTATCAGTCCTTCTCGCAATATGCAACACACATTTCCTTACATATTTCATTACATACAGTACACCTCTCAAGGTATATATCACACCTGTCTTTTCATACGCACATCACTTATGTGTATAAAATACACTTTCTTATAATGTCACCAACAGTAATTGCGATAAGCTCTAATTTTGGTTAGTAATGGAATCACCCTAAACCAGCAACTACTTCTATAAATTAGAACACAGAATAGAAGCAACCAGCATTGCGTTGACCATTACTAGTACATGCACTACTGTAATTGAATATATTGCAAAGTATCTTAGTATGATTACAACTGAGTCACTAGAAAAAGAGTCCATATATTAACTACTGAACTCCCACAGGAGAGCAAAGACTAGTGGCGACTGCAAAAACACCAACACTAAGCCAGGCCAAGTAACAGATAAAACAAGCAAAGAATGTAATTTAACAAAAGCTGTATCGTACCAATAACACTGCATGAAAACATTGAAATATATCATTAAAAGGGATCTATGCTAATACAGTAACCTTGTTTAATAATGGACTCAAGAATTACGACGATGGTTTAGAGATTATTAAATAAATAATGGCTGTCTACTAATATCTGACAAGTATGCATATTTGCTATCTCAAATGGCGGTATCATTTCAATAGGCGGTACCTAACCTTAGCTTGATGTGAGTGCAAAGTAAAGACTCCTTTAACTGTGCCCACTTCTGGAGTCACCTGTAGTCTATAGTCTTAGATACCTTTGTGTAGTCCGGCTCTTTAGTTTGTCTCATATTGTCACAGTTAGCACCCTTTTGACGGAAATAAAAGGAGCGAGGTCCAATCGTGATCAGAGAAAATGTTTGGATCTCACCCTTCTTTTTCAAATATCACGCCTCGACATATTTCCACACTCAAATACACCAAATTCCAATAAATAGCCCGATGGCTTCAGCATATTAAAACAACCACATACATCCATACGATCCACCAGATCATAACAAATCGCGCACGCCCATTCTGTTCAGCTGACTGGGTGCACTTGAGTAGCAAAAGCCATTGCTACCCACTGTCATCTATATATTGCCTGGGAAAACACTTCTGGGGAACGCCCTGATAACCTCTCTCACCAGAGAGTTCCAAGCAACACCTGTTTCACAAACTTTGTGTCGCCGGAGTATTCTGCACGAAACTTTTGTCAGCAAAATTCATAAATACTTATCTGCACTCTCGCTTCCTATAACCTATGGCATACTTGTTTGTGACGTGTGTGAACACACAACAAATACGTCACTTGTCGTGTGTCGATTTGTCTATTCAGATACTAATCTGGTACCATATGCTAGATGAGTCAGTGGCATGAAAAGAAGCCTTTACTTTTACTTAGTACAGTCCAAAAAGAAAAGACACCTAAATCTGACGAATAAGAGGAGATGTAATCATGAAAAGTATGTGAAAGGCATAGAAATAGCTATAGAAGGTAGCTGGTTACGAAAGCTGGCTAAGGGCGTAAACTCCAGTTGGAAATTGAGAGCGAAAACAGAATAGTCTTGCAAATGTTGTTGCAGTAATTGATTACTAATTGATTATTTCAGAAACTAGCATATCGCCCCGCGATCCCAGATGGATCGGCGCTTGGTGGCTCGGGTTTCTTGTCTTTGGTGGGGCTGGGCTCGTTGTGGGTCTTCCCCTCATGTTCTTTCCAAAGCGTCTTGTGAAAAAGAAAGTGCAGCAGACTGTCAAAGAAAAGAGCAGGGTCGACAAGAAGGGACTGAACAGGTTTTGGCATGATATTAAAGGTAAATGTTCTACTATAATGGTGCAAAACAATTTGCACCCATGACTCAATACTGTTAGCTGTTGTTCTAATTCTGTACTCGACAAATTCACACATTATCTTACATAAAATAATTTAAAAGGCAGCTTGTTTACTCAGATAGTGAAACTGAAGTTTTTCTACTTTATATAAAATTGTATATTTTACCCGCTTAAAATTGCGTTGTGTGATAGAGTGATGTTATATAATTTACGCAGTTCCAACAAGTCCCCAGTTGCTCCATTTCTCTACCAGCAAGAACCATGCATATTGTCTATCATTGCCACAAAGCATGACATTTGAGCAGAAGAAGAAGAAGAAGAAGAAGAAGAAGAAGAAGAAGAAGAAGAAGAAGAAGAAGAAGAAGAAGAAGAAGAAGAAGAAGAACAAAAGAAGAAGAAGAAGAAGAAGAACAAGAACAACAAGAAGAACAAGAAGAAAAAGGTTTCCAGAAGTGAAACCAGCCAGACATCTCGCCAGGGAACGACTTGGGATCAAAGGTGAAAGGACATCAACAGCCACTCTTCAGCGTTAGATACTGGCATATTAGAACAAGCTGGACATTTGGAAAAAGTTTTTTCATTAGATCCATTACCACAGTATACATATTTAAGTAGTTACATAAGTACGCTTTGCGTAAATAAGAAAGAGACGCGCCATTGCTGCAAACGTTGATACATGGACGACCTGAGGGAAACAAAGAGGACAGTTGCAAGAGAAATGAATGAGTGTAGACTGACAAGAGATACTATAGGAAGGAGGGGGTTGGGGGAGGTGCAGTCTGGCAGTAAGGGAGATTACTTGTTAATGCCTTACGTGTCAACATGGACATGCAGCCGATATATGTAGATAGACCAGAATGTACTCTAAAGGATACGACATTTATATTGTGTTAACACACACACACACACACACACACACACACTGACATTGACGTTAATGTGTGCTCCATCCGACCCAGATCTGCTGAGATCCGTGTTCCAGCTGATCCTCAACCCAGTCTACATGTGTATGGTATTCGCCAGCGGTATCAACATTATGGCAGTCAGTGGAATGATGGCTTTCTCTGCCAAGTATATGGAGACGCAGTTTACTGTCACAGCCTCCAAGGCCAACATTTTGATAGGTAAAAAAAGAGATTGACAATGTAAAGATGGAATAACATTTTTTACAGTACGTCTTTATTTCAGTGTCTTTCTGTCTGTCATTTCATGTCTCCTCTATCTCTCACCTGCTCCTTAAATCGCATATGTACAGTTTAGAAGGGCCGATTGTACGGGAACGTGTCCCCAGTTCTTGAAAATTAGGATCGTTCTTCTCTCTCTCTCTCTCTCTCTCTCTCTCTCTCTCTCTCTCTCTCTCTCTCTCTCTCTCTCTATATATATATATATATATATATATATATATATATATATATATATATATATACCACACATTTCTTGTTCTTCTCCCCCTCCTCTCCTTTTTATCCCCAGGTAGCATAGACTACTTTCCAACGCCTACCTGGCTGTCTTATCATTTGTCACAACCTCTTTAGCACACTACATGTAATTCCCAGTCACCCCTCACCTATTTATATATATATATATATATATATATACATACACACACACACACACACAGAGACACACACACACACACACACACACATATATATGCTACCTGGGGATAAAAAGGATAGGAGGGGGAGAAGAACAAGAAATGTGTGGTGATGATGATGTAACTTAAAATCTAGGGTAACTGGGAACGATTAGGTTAAGAACTACACTTGCTTCTTTCCGCTGCCAGGCGCCATGAAAGTCCTAGCAGCCCCTACAGGAGCTGTCATCGGTGGCTGTGTCACGTCTCGGCTCAAACTGTCGCCCAGGGCCTGCCTCGTGGTGATCACCGTCTCCAAGATACTGGCCACTTCGTTCTCCTGCCTCGGATTGGTCCTTGGCTGTGATCAGCCGACGCTCTATACTGGAGGAGACTCTCAGAGGTTTGAAATGTGTGTCCGTCTATGATTTGCTGCTAGATAAAAACAGACACTGACGGACTAATTAATAGATAGACAGACAGATTGAAAAAAAAAAGAGGCAGGCGGGCAAACAGAGAAACAGACAGATTGAAACACGTATTGATAGACATACGGATTGATGGATTAGGTATATAGATAGATGAATAGATGGATAGATGGATGGACAGACAGACAGACAGACAGACAGACAGACAGACAGACGGATAGACAGACAGACAGACAGACAGACAGACAGACAGACAGACAGACAGACAGACAGACAGACAGACAGACAGACAGACAGATAGATAGATAGATAGATAGATAGATAGATAGATAGATAGATAGATAGATAGATAGATAGATAGATAGATAAGATAGATAGATAGATAGATAGATAGATAGATAGATAGATAGATAGATAGATAGATAGATAGATAGATAGATAGATAGATAGATAGATAGATAGATAGATAGATAGATAGATAGATAGATAGATAGATAGATAGATAGATAGATAGATAGATAGATAGATAGATAGATAGATAGATAGATAGATAGATAGATAGATAGATAGATAGATAGATAGATAGATAGATAGATAGATAGATAGATAGATAGATAGATAGATAGATAGATAGATAGATAGATAGATAGATAGATAGATAGATAGATAGATAGATAGATAGATAGATAGATGTGAGAAACTAGCAACAACAACCGGTCAGTTACGCGAAGGAATTGATTCGAGAAAAAAATGGTAAGGCTAGAAACGGTTGGGGGGGGGGGGGGGGGGGGCAAGAGGAAGGCAAAATATTGAATACTTGGACTGTTTGATCACATCAGTGGGTTGATACCAGCACTTATCTGATCCGTATTATTCGTGTTTGTGGGTAAAGCGTAAAATTGTGAAACATGAAACTTTTATTTATGGGCATGATTCATGATGCCAAGGATAATGTAATACACATCTTGATATCAACATTAACATTTAAGGGAAAGACAATAATTAAAGCTTGGTGCATTATTCTGTACACACACACACACACACACACACACACACACACACACACACACACACAAACACACAAAACACACACACACACACACACACAAATAACAGTTGTCCCTCTTATCCTGTTTCAGTGGGGGTTCTATTTCCCAGTGTCAGCAAGACTGCAATTGTGATGACACGAACTATTTCCCCATATGTGGGAATGACGGCAACAGCTACTTCTCGCCCTGCCATGCTGGCTGTATGTTTGTCAACCATGAGGTGATACATCATATTTAATGTTGTATATTTGTCAGCTATGAGATTAAACGTCGAATTTACTGTTGTATGTTCTTTAACCATTGGGTGACACATCTCATTTAGTTTCGTATGTTCGTCAACAATGAGGTGACACATCCCATTTAGTGCTGTATAATTGTCAGCCAAAAGGTGATACATCATATTTAATGTTGTATATTAGTCAGCTATGAGCTTAAACGTCGCATTTAGTGTTGTATGTTCGTCAACCATGGGGTGACACATCACATTTAGTGTTGTATGTTCGTCAACAATGGGGTAACACATCACATTTAGTGTTGTATGTTCGTCAACAATGGGGTAACACATCACATTAAGTGTTGTATGTTCGTCAACAATGGGGTAACACATCACATTTAGTGTTGTATATTCGTCAACAATGGGGTAACACATCACATTTAGTGTTGTATGTTCGTCAACAATGGGGTAACACATCACATTTAGTGTTGTATGTTCGTCAACAATGGGGTAACACATCACATTAAGTGTTGTATGTTCGTCAACAATGGGGTAACACATCACATTTAGTGTTGTATGTTCGTCAACAATGGGGTAACACATCACATTAAGTGTTGTATGTTCGTCAACAATGGGGTAACACATCACATTTAGTGTTGTATGTTTGTCAGCTATGGGGGGATGTATAGCATTTAGTATTGGTTTCTCAACCATGAGATTAAATCTCTTGTAAGGCTGTGTGCTCGTCATCCATGATGTGATGCAATCCATTTACTGTTCATTTTATGTTTGTCAACCCTGAAGTGACACATTCCATTTAGTGTTGATTGTACAAGTTGTGTGTAGGTTGAAGACTAGAGGGGTGCTCTGTTGTCACGCGACACTGGCATATACTTTAATGTTCCTCCATATTTATTTAAACACTGTTCTAGCTTCTCTACAACAGACATATTTTGATTCAAGCTTTCATTCGTCTTGGGTGACCACACATTTCTCTCTCTCTCTCTCTCTCTCTCTCCCTCCTTGCTTTCCATAGATACAACACACAATATAAATACTTATCAAACATCATTCTAATGCATCTAAGATTTACAGTTGGGTTTTAATTTGTCATTACTATGCATTGTCACGTCCTCTCTATTTTCCTGCTCCTACGATGTCTTTACGTACCTCGTCTCAAGTGCGGTGGTGTTATGAGAGCACCGTGAAAATTTTGAACTAAATACCTTTTGCGGTCAGACCCGTAGCTGCTACCAGAAAATCTGATTATAATCCAGAACATATTTGAGAGGCCGCATTGTTGAGAGGTTAAGATGTTCTGACTTGTCAAGACCTGACTGGTTGGGTCAAATGTCTCAATTATGTATATTCTCATATAAACTAAAGCACAAACTATAAAATGCTTCCTAACTATTGCTGAGTAGTAGATAGGACATATGACCTTTTCACACCAAGGAGTAAAATTAGACGGATAGGTGTGTATGTTTTTAATAATCATTAAAAATACATAGGAGTTTGAAATACGCATTACAAAAGATCCTTGCCCAGCATAAGAAATGACAAGCCCGTTGGTTTCTCCACATATCACGACGACTACCATCATACAGTTTGACACAAAGAGCAACATGATTTAGATAGACAAGAAAACAAGTAGAAATGTTTATTACGTGACTGCAAAAAATGGGGGGAGGGGGGGGGGTGATAGCTCAAGAGGGGGGGGGGGGGGTGGGGTCTTCATAATAGAAGACAACATTCACCATCAGGCAGGGATTATAGCTCCTCAAAGACATTATACGTATCCTGATTCTGGAAGAAAAGAAGAGGAAGAAGAAGAAGAGAAGAGAAAGAAGAAGAAGAAGAAGAATAAGAAGAAGAAGAAGAAGAAGAAGAAGAAGAAGAAGAAGAAGAAGAAGAAGAAGAAGAAGAAGAAGAAGAAGAAGAAGAAGAAGAAGAAGAAGAAGAAGAAGAAGAAGAAGAAGAAGAAGAAGAAGAAGAAGAAGAAGAAGAAGAAGAAGAAGAAGAAGAAGAAGAAGAAGAAGAAGAAGAAGAAGAAGAAGAAGAACAAGAAGAAGAACAAGAAGAAGAACAAGAAGAAGAACAAGAAGAAGAAGACGAAGAGAAAGAAGAAGAAGATGAAGATGAAGATAAAGATGAAGATGGTAGTATTGATGGATATCTAGATTTAATCTAAGTAAAAAAGAACTATCTCTAACAACTCAGTCAATGCCCTATACTTTCAGCTATTTACTAACTGCAGCTGTCTGACCATCAACGAGACCCAGACAGCAACTGGCGGTCTCTGCACACAAGACTGCAACAACATGTACCCGTACTTGTGCGTCAACTTCCTTGGCGCTTTTTTCTCTACCGTTATCATCATGCCCAGCTTCATTGTCATTGTCAGGTACTTGCAGACATCACTTGATATAACATATATGCAGGCACAACAAATGTGTTCATACATACAAGGGCAAATCACAAAGTAAGTCAGAAATGGTTATGGGATGGCAAGAAAATGTAGTTGGTGGTTTCTAAAGGTGTCATTAGGTGACAGCAACATCAAACTTTATGTCTCTGTTTGTTAGGTGGCGCTAGGTGTTGCATGCGCATTCGCAACAAAGAAACAAATTGGTTACTTTACTTACGTAGTGTAAACTCGAAAAACATTTTTTATTTGTTTTTTGGGGGAGGGGAGAGGTGGCAAAAGGGCTGCCTGCAAAGGACATTCTATGGGATGAGGTAGAAGACACGACGAACAGGTTTACTACTGGGGACGAATCATGGGTGTATCATGGTGGAAAGTATGGTGAAAATAAAGGGACAGGGTATGTGAATAAATACACTTTTTTATGTTACCGTTTTTATTTTTGTTTAAACAATCATTTGTGACTTACTTATTGACGTCCCTCGTTTATATGTATATGTATATATATATATATATATATATATATATATATATATATATATATATATATATATATATATATATATATATATATATACTGTATATGCAACTGCAATACATGTACATACAATATACAATTACAGTGGATATACTAATAATTGTAAAATTTAATTTAATTTGTCTTTTGTACCAGAAAGTCGCTGCCCTAAACCGGTATGATCATATTTCTTGGGCAATAAAGACAATGTGTTATTAGACAATGCAGTGACATCAGTTTGTGACTGACTGATTGATTGAAATATTGAATTATTTATTGGTTTATTTGTATTGATTCCACGAGTGCAGATTGATCAAACATTTAAAGCAAGCAACATATGCTCAGTATTCACATTATCTCACAGACATTCAGTCGGATGTAACCAAACCATCGCAGACAAAAAAAAAAAAAAAAAAAAAAAAAAAATATTATATGTATGTATGTATGTATATATATATATATATATATATATATATTTTAAATTGTTGATGTTTGAAAAAAAAAAAAAAGGTGTGTAATGAGCAGAAAGGCACCTTGCAGAAGATCCAGTAGAAGACTTACTACACCGGCACGAAAAGACAAATCTAGAATTTGAATCTGGCAAAACAAAATACGGTGTTCTTTTCTAAAAATCAAAGACAAATCTCTGGTTACTGTCTGTATTTACTGATTTTTATGATTGTGTGAACGTTGTTTGGTTGTAGGAAGGGAGGGGGGCGGAGGCTAATTCTGAGAATTAAGGTGCTCGTGTCTAGTGCTGTTGCCATGGACTGTGCAGGTTAAGATGTTTATGCCCTTGACAGAAAAACTCGATCCCCTTACCGGGGTCCAACTCCGGTGGTTTCCGGCATGAGAGCCCGTGATTGTACCCTCTTGTCTCAGCTGCTCCTCCTAGCCCCTCCTCTGTCTCAGATGCATGTCTCATAAACAGCATAGTTTCTGGGAAATGATTATGTTTTCCTGCACGGAGAGTCAGAATAATTTTGAAAATAACGGTAACTGAAGATCTCTGAAAGACCTGGCTGTGTCCAAGCGACACAAGCCGGACAGGTCATTCATGTCGTCTTGGTAGTTTAAGTCCAGTAGAGGGAACAGCAGTTAGCGGATGTATGGCGAGTCTCACTGTTTGTGTTACGTAAATTATTTCAACATGCTGCAGGTGACTTGCCAAGGAATTAGATAGTGGATGGACATCTTCTTTCAGGTGACTGCCCACATTTGAAGTAGGCGGAATCCAGGTAATAGAGCACTGATTGACAGCGTCAATTTTTTAACTACCTTGTGTCTTTCTACAATCACAGGTCTGTGACGGAGGTCAACAAACCACTGGCTATTGGCTTGAATGCATTTGCATCAACTTTAATTGGTAAGTTTGCTTTTAAATCTAGGGTATATTTTCTTTTTCTTTTTAAAATCTATACTTGGGGGGGGGGGGGGGGGGGGGGTTACATCATACTATTATGAAACATGTGAACTAACTCCCTTATTCTCTCATCTTTGTGGCATGGACGGCAAGCAATGTTAAGTCAGGTGGGATATCCGACTTTAGTTCTCGTTGGGGTTTTAGAGAGTTGCGTTTTCCCCAGACCAGGTAGGTACACTTGACCCCCCCCCCCCCACTCCTCCCCCCGCCCTAAAAAGAGAAAGAACATGCACTTGCTGGTTTGGGTAATCTATTGCTGTCTCAGTGTGACTATTGGTCTACATTGTTGACACGTTCTGATATTCGAGGGAGGACTGTGAAGGAAGACTGATGATTGTGTGATGGCTACAAGTAGACAGACTATAGAAATTATGGCATCAATTAAAGCAACAGCCTGGCTTTAATCGGAGACTTTCCCTGAGACATGCTTTCTCAATGACTCAGTACGAACACGAAGAACTGTCAGAATGACTGGCTTCGAGAACAGTCTGGAGCTGAAGTCTCCGAGCATGCCATTCGTTGACAAGATATATCAGTTTGCACCCACACATGAGGGGGAAGGTAGAAATGAAGATATTCTTTTTGACTATAATGTTGAATAAAAGCGATGTTTTTGACTATGGTGTGGGGTAAAAGCGATTAGCTATACTTGGCTTACATAAGGACCTTTCTCAAAGAGTGCAGCTATGGAAATCAGATAGTGATTGGAAATAAAAAGCTCGAGCAGACTGCAAGAGCGGACAGTAAGACGGGCGAAATTCAGACAGTAAACTAATACATCACATCAGTTAGTTAGCCGGCCAGTCTACAGAGTACCCTCACTGAAAACTGAACCCTGCTGTGCATGCTTGTTCGGGTTTTTGCTTTATCCACAGTGCTTGTCTAGTTGCTACAGGCTGAGGAAACCTCTTTCTCTTCTTTTTCCTCTCTTTTTCCCCCCAGCTACTTCTTTGATGTCTTGATGGGAAGTGGGGAGGGAACTGAATGTATGGTTCTACAGTTTACTATGCTCTCTGCAATGTGGTGTGTAAGTTGGTTTTAATTTCCTTCTTTCCATATTCTACGTGGTCTTTCCTTTAATCTGTGTCCATTGTATTTTTTGACGCTGGCTCTCTGCTGCAGTTGGTACCAGGACATTCTCGCTATATGGCCAAATCTTCTCATCTGTTGATCTTTAATACACTGTATGACTGGTTTCAGGCCTAGCAGTCTTTTAATTTCTTTATTTTAAACTGTACCTTCCTTGTTACCATAGCAGCTCTTCGTGACATCTCATTTCTGATGCTATGCGTTTATTAATTTCAGCAAGTTGTCAAAGTTTGACACTGGTGGCTTGAAAAAGGCCAAAACATGGATCTAATTAGATAAGCTTTGGTGGACATGGGTCTACTACAGGCTGAGAACTGTTCTGGTAAAAGGATGCAGGCACACATGGGATGAATGATTGTCTGTACTATGAGGATGATCTGTCCACTAATTAACTATTGTCGTTAAACGTAGAACCATGTTAAGGTTTGTTTTCTTCAGCCACTTGTGTAAAAATGTTCTGTCTGCCACTTTTGCTGGTAGAGCACACTGTACTATCAGCATGATCATGTGTCGTGCCAACTAGCATTGGTGATCATGCCTCTTCCCAAATCGCGATATCCAGCAGCATGTTTCAGTCTGCCTGCTGACAGTCTCACATGCTATGAAAATATTCTTGTTCAATATTATCTTTGGAACCCAGACGGCACTTCTGGGTTCGCCAATTAAGACTTCTCATTAGGTTGTTTCTGCGACACCCCCTCCACCCCCCCCCCCCCCCCCCCCTCCCGCTCCAGACACGTATTTCCGTTTTGAGTCCCGTTTTGTGATCTCTTATATGCTCGGTCTCAGAATGTGCCTAAATACATTACAATCTTGTTTCCCCTTACACCTTCAAACATGCATATTTTATTATTTTTAGGTTGGTTTCCGGGACCTGTGATTTATGGTTTCCTGGTGGACTCCACCTGTTTATTGTGGAAGACGACTTGTTCATCTGTTGGAGCGTGCTCTCTGTACGACATAGAGCTGTTCCGTTTCCGTTACCACGCCCTGTCGATCGGCCTGAGAGCGATAACAATCTCTTTATATATCATAGCCTTGGTCTACACGTTCTGTTCTAAAAACTTCACTTTTCAGCCACATAGAGACGAAGTCTGTCTGGCCGTGCCTGTTGACCAGCAGGATAATGAGATGGATTCCAAGAATATTGAATCTTCCTCTAAAGTAAAAAGTGACAAAGAGAACATTAATCTCACCAGCATATAACATTAAAGTAAAGGATCGTAAATATGTAAATAATAGTGAACGTGTTATGATGATTCAGTGAAAATATAGATCAGGATATGCACATTTTGACGTTTTGTCTCTCGCCTATGACTGCGTGTATGTGATTATTATCTACTGTAGAGGTAGGTGGTGCTTGAGCTCTCGCCAGCAAGCCTCCCTACCGGACTTGTGAGTTGGAATGCGAGTTGAGGATAATTAAAACTGTGGATTCCCTGGCAGTCCCATTACTGGATACAATGCAGTGACGCCGGCACTAGAGAGCTCTGGCACCTTGAGCCGCAGTTAGTCTGTTCTTGTTTTCCCCCACAATAGGGCCCCGGAAGCACGGGGACAATAAACTTTAAAAGAAACTCTTTGTATCGTTTGAGAACCCACTTAGTTCCCCCTCCCCCTTAGCTTGTTTCAAAATGGTCTTGTGGTGGCAGGGAAGTGGGGGGGGGGGGGTGTCGGGGTTTTTTTAAAATATGTTTTCCCCTGTGTTGGCTCCGGGGCCCAATTGTGGGGGAAATAAGAATAGAACCCCTGCCTCGTCCATGAGTATGTCATAGGTGTCGACTACTTGGAGCTTCCTTCGAACTCAGAGTGCACAAAGAAAAACCAAATGTACACAAATAAACCAATAAAATGGATGTTCACGCAAAACTCAGGCATTTAAACAAAACCAAAGTCGAAATAGACGAACAACTAAGACTTTCTACTATAGCCTATAACCAGTTAGAAGTACTTATTTGTACATTTCGTATAATTTCACATACATTTTTGTTTATAGTTTTGTATTTGCTGTTTAGCTAACAACGGGTGAATTTGTGATAGTTATCAATAGCTTTCAGGCTGACAAGTGTAAATTGGATACACGGAAACGTATCCTGGGAAACATAGTTGATGGCGTATTAGTGATGTGTGCCATTGGCGAGCAATGATCCATTACTACACAACTGCGGTTTCTGAAGTATTCTCAGGCACATGTCGATTGATAGACATGGTAAACAGGGAAAACCCACCAGGAATAAACGAACCGTGTTCGCACTCTACCAGACGTTCACACACTGGGACTCATTTCAATACAGCCAAGACCAAAATAAAGCACATCTTGCATACAAGCAAGTTACTGTGATCTGGCCAAACTGCAACAGCCGACATGTCACTAGGCAAACTAAATTTTAAAAAAAAAAAACTGTTAGCAGCGTCGGTTAATTCGACGTTAGTCTCTCCAAATAGAGTAGGTCATTAACAAGTTTGTTGGGCTGGTCGACTCTCTTGAAAGTTACGGATGTGTTCCGCTTTCTTGTTTGGTTTCTGCGATGTCTTGCATTTACATTTAAATTCCAAAAAGAGATAATGCCTGTGAAATAGGTTGCAGCACTGTCGGGGTGGGGGGGGGGGGGGAGTTAGACCCAGTTTCTCTATGTTTTTAGTGTGCTGAAAGCGCTGGCGTTCTGAAAAATACAACACACGATACAGTGCTCAGGAACTACCATTCAGAAGTGAGTTAATGTGTATAGGGCTCGGGTCTGGGGAGACTAACGTTGAACTAACCCGTCAAACTAACCAGAAAGTCTTGTGTGTGAAGGTAACATACGTTCATTCAGCTGTTTTATTGTCGGGTGGTGGAGATCACAAGAAACGCTGTGACCTAATCATTGGTTTGCACCTTTAAGCTATTAACAACTGCTAGCAGAGGGCGAATTCGACGATGATATGTCAGAACTGTTATTTGAAGACAATATCTTTGTCTGTCTATGGTAAAAGAAAATCCTAACCTGCACAATAAGCGGTGACGTCACTAGCCAGGCCACCCTAAATCCTCAAGCTCAAAGACCACCATGCCTGGGGCTATATAGAAAAAGTGCTAAATACAGCCAGTAATTGTAAATACCCCCCCCCCCCCCCCCCCCCCCAAACATCCCCAGTTTTCTTAAAGACAATTAAGTAGTAATATCATAAATAAGAGTAAAGATAGTCACCAGAACTATTTTAGTCAAGTTAATGGAAAGAAGAAGACCCAAAATGTGACTGAAGTTTGATTCAACTGAAATCAATAGCAAACTAATAAATGTAAAAGTGCCTACCAAAATCACAAATATCCCTTAAATTGTGGAGCTGGTTTACTATGTACTGTAACAGTTATTAAACGCCGTTTCGGAAGGAAACAAGATTGCTTAAGCCATACTTAGATTATAATCCAGACTGTATAGCTTTCCAGCGTTTGGGGGGTAAACTTCGATCAATACAGAGTTCGTCTCAAAAAACAAAAAAGAAATCATTTTCACACAAAAAAAAAGCCCTCGTAGAAAAATTATGTAACGATCAAGGAATGATCACAGACTAGAAGTCAAATATCACATGTGTTCCAAAATGAGACCTGTCTGATCTTTGATTAAATCTCTTCAAATTTTGATACAGTTGTGTTTGCTGAAGTGGGTATTCATTGTGGCCTGAAATTGGTAACCGATGAATTAAACATTAGTTCGAATTTTTATGTGCAGGGAGAAAAGCATAACTGCATTTGCGACTAAGTCTTAGTTTTAAGGCTGACTTTTTTTTAGACAGACCTAGTGTCTGAAGTGATTTTATGTAAAATGTCTTGTAAGGACCACGTTACTCCAACCTGATTTATTCCCTCTGCGGTTTTCAACGAACAAAACAAGAATTCCGTTGTTTTAATAATCACCCCCCCCCCGCCTTTATTTTGTGAACACAACCCCCCCCCCCACCCCCCCCCCCCCCCCAAAAAAAAGCGTTGCTCCCGGACTAAGAAAAAAATGCATGTCTGAACCAATTGACGCAGTTTCGGGGCTACGGAAACAACATGTCCACTGCTACACGGGCACTCCTCTGAAGAAAAAAAAATTCAAAACGGTAAATTTTACGATAGTCTCCCCATTTACACACCGCTACACACTAGCTCGCTTCTGATTGGACGACCTACTGACCACTTTATATATGATAGGTCGGTCTCGAGAGATCCGACTTTAACACAAGGTCACAGGGATATTCCGCACTCGTTTTGATACCGCGTGTTGTATATTTCACCATGCCAGAGCTTTTAACACTTCTAAAACATTTAGATACTGGGTCTAACACACAATCTCCCCTAGAGAGTGTCAAAACCTATGTCACAGGCCGTCTCCTTTTCGGAAATAAAAACGTAAATAAAAGACAACAACAAACTTCGACACCCGTAACCTCGACAACGGTAGACTACTCCAACCAACTTACGGGAACACACACACACACACACACACACACACACATATGTGCTTGCGTGTATGCGTGGGTGGAGGGTGTGTGGGTGGATGGGTTTGTAACAGACCACTCCCGATTTTCTGAATCTAAGTTCGCAACATCTTGCTTGTCACAATCCAAAAACTTTCCAAATGAAATGCACAGCTAACAGGGTAGAGCCATGCACCAAGTTCAATAGACCGCAAACCTAGTTTGAAAAAAGACTCATGTGTTGCCTTGTCCATCGAATGTACTGGCGACACTAAGCAACAGGCTGCGACAAGCAGGAGCAAGAGCGATTCTGACCGCAGGACGTTGAGCAGCCAGTCCTTATGTCATGTACACGTGTGTGAAAGCTGCTTTGACTGACACTAACGTTTACAGTTTGTCTCGGTGCTGACATCACAGTGGGAAACAAGTCGGTGTAAGATGGCGCAGGGTGGACAACAAAAGGTACCACTATTTATAAGGTTTATTTGTGCATCTAGGGCGACCTGACGATCCTCAACACTTCCTGTGGCCTGAAATCTCTCCACAATTCTTTGGTTAGTAGCGTGTGACACTGCAAGCGGTCTTCACGGATAGATAAATCATTTTAACCCAAGGTATAGCCCTCCTTATTTATTGGGTGTCCAGATTTTTCTCAATGGCATGGTTTTTGCAAGTGATAGAACAGTCTGCAGATCGTTAAAAGAACTGAGATTGAAGTCTGGTCTCGACAGGCGCCACTGCACGCAGAATGTTAATCAGCGCGATTTTTTAACATGTCTGGTTGTACGGAAGTTGAAAAACAAAACATATAAAATGTGAATTGAAGGTCACCAAACCAAACTGCACAAGACACAACGGTTGTCGATGAGTAGTTTTCGTGCTAACGTGCACGGAGGACTGTCATAAGAAGATACTGTACTGTTACTAAAAACTCTCCTCATTTAAGCATTCAATGTCCTTATATATAAAGTGTACTCAACAAACGCGCGAAGAGTTGCTTTAGAATGAATAAGTTAATTCAACTCAACCCAGTATATAGAGGTAGCCGAGTAACAGTATTGTTAAATATTATTCGAATCGTCCAACATCACATCTGGGGTATGTGACTGTGAAAAAAGTTGAAGTAGGATAAAAAAAAAAGGTTGTTGCGTATCCTTTACAGGACGTTTTCAGAAACCAACCCTAACAGCCTACTGGCTGTTTGACTGTGGTTTCTCTAGGCAAATTACGTCCAGTAGTTTGCCATTGCTTCTGGAGGTCGAGATCATAGATACCACTGTCGAAAAAAAAACGCAAGGCGCATTGCCCGCAGCTGGGATCGAACCAGGCATTATTTTATTACGAAAAAAAAAAAAAAAAAAAAACTTAGCCACAGAGCCATACACTGAAGTAGGATAACACATTAAAATATTGCATTTAACACAGAGATTAGTGTTTCTGAAAGTCAACTTTAAGCGAGCCTACAGAGGAAGACTGTCCTTTACCTGATGCATGCAGAGAGGAAGTCTTTATTTAAACAGACTTTAGGTGAGATCATAGAGTAAGTCTTTTGAAAAAAAAAAAACACACATTAGATAAGATCATAGAGAAAGTCTTTAATTAAAAAAAATTAGGTAAGATCATAGAGTAAGTCTTTATTTAAAAAAAAAAAAAAACAAAAACAGGTAAGATCATAGAGAAATTATTAAAAAAAAAAAAAAACAATAGGTAAGATCATAAAGGAAGTCTTAATTAAAAAAAAAAAACATTAGGTAAGATCATAG